GTCAGTGTCATGGGGAGGCAGGGAGGTGAGCGAGCGCCTGGGGGCCAATGCCGTGGGGAGGATGGGACGGGTGGGTGATCCTGGGAAAGAACGGGACGGGGTGGTCCCGGGCGGGACAGTCCTGAGTGGGACAGGAAATATCTGATGCCCTCCCCTCTCCCGCGGTGTTGCATGCTGGGGAGTCTCTCTCTCCTACACACCCCGTCTCTGCCCCATGTGTGCTGTCGTGCTATTGGGGTGGGGGGCCCTAGCTCTGTCTCTAACCTGTCCTCCCCAGGCGTCCCATTCGTGCTGCGCTGTGGTAAGGCCCTGAACGAGCGCAAGGCCGAGGTGCGGCTGCAGTTCCGGGACGTGCCGGGCGACATCTTCCAGCGGCAGTGCAAGCGCAACGAGCTGGTGATCCGGGTGCAGCCCAACGAGGCCGTCTACACCAAGATGATGACCAAGAAACCTGGCATGTTCTTCGACCCCGAGGAGTCGGAGCTGGACCTGACCTACGGCAACCGCTACAAGGTGCAGGCCCCCCCCACCAGCCCCCTCACTCCCCCTTCCCATCCATCCCCCACCCCCACTGCCCGAGGAGTGAGAGCTGGACCTGACCTATGGTTGCCAAACCAACCCCCCCATCCCAGCCGCCTCTTCCCAACACAGCCCCTCCCCTCCCCACACCCCCAGTTCACGTCTCCATCTCCCCAGGATGTGAAGCTGCCGGATGCCTATGAGCGACTCATCCTGGATGTCTTCTGTGGCAACCAGATGCACTTTGTCCGCAGGTGGGTGCTGGGCCTGTCCGGCCCTGATCCCCCATCCCCGAGTCGGCCAGGTGCTGGGCCTGTCCGGCCCTGATCCCCCATCCCTGAGGGCCCCGGGCCGTCTGGGTGCTGGGCTCAATCCCGGCCCTGATCCCTGTCCCCGGGGCAGCCGGGTGCTGGGGCTGGATCCATGCAGAGCGGGGTGGGTGGATGCTGGCACCTGGGGACCGTGGGGGAATGGCTGGGTCTGGGCAGAGTCGGGCGGCTGGATCGGGGTGGGGCGGG